GAGGGAAAAAAGTTGCAGTTAAGGGAGAAAAAAAATTAATTGCAGATGAAATTTGTCGACGGTCGAAGTTTCGCCATTCGTATGCACGGCGAGCGTTGTTGCCCCGGTAAAAGATAAAATCGGGAACAACGTCTTGTTGCCTAGCGTTAAAGAAGAATGATACGACCCCGCGGTGTTTTAAATTCTTACGAAACGCGCGGCGGCTCGTTTTGCGTTGGGCTCTCTCGCGTGCGTAGCTTTACGAGAAGTTTCCGTGAAAATTAAATGGCCCTTGATGCATAATTCTCCCCCTCTTTTCAAGTCCTTATTTATAGTTTGGTTAAGCGTGCCCGTATCAGCCGCGGGGAATGTTAATGCGATGATAAATTTATTGCTGGAAGTTCGTAACTTGACTACACCGTGTTCAAGCCGCCGTATTTGTTTTTTTTGCGATATCGAATTATTACTTCGACGAAAACACTGAACAAATAAGAACTGAGACGTCTGCGTTGTTTGATTGAAAATAAAAATTTCCGTTTCAACATGAAAGAATATTTAATAACTATTCCGTCAAATAAACGCCTCGAAGTTACTTCCGTATATTATTTGTTATCGGTGATTATTAATCGACTATTGAAAATAATTTTTTACCTTAATTCTTTATTAAATATTCTTCTTATTTGTGATGTTATACGTATTATGCATAGTCGGAAAGAAACACTGAATTATTTTTGTGATAATCAGTATCAATTGATTGTACGCCGACAAAGTACAAAAACTGGTTTAGTATTTTTATAGTATGTGATATTTTAAAATGTGAATGAAGTAGTATTAATGATCTTCCTAGCTGCAAAACCAAATAAAACATAGGTTAAACATTTTTGCAATCATTATTTTATCGTGCCATATTGCAGTATAACAAAGATTGAAATTTGAACGCTTCCTCTCTACGTTGATTAAAAAGTATATTAACTTTCATCGACTGTCACTTTTATTACAACACAGGCATCTACTGACATTTTTGACCATCGTTAACAGAAACAACGAAATCGATAATCAATTAACACATACGAGAAATAAAGGAAATTAAACATACAAAACATTTTTCAATACACCATATTCCATTCAATTATATTTACTACATATGCATGAGAACCTACAACATGACAAATATTCAAATTTAACACTTTCAGTACCAATTGAGAGCTACCCTAAATTTATTCCACAGTGACTATTTTTCCATCACGAATGTTTATTTACACTTTTTCATCAACTTATTCGAACTATCATTACACCACATTCCATTCAATTATATCTATTAGGTACCTACAACTGGATCAAAGCTGCAATATAACAATAATTGAAATCGAACGTCCTCTTTCAGTGTCGATTCAGAACCACCCTGAATTCTATCCACCCAGCCAGCATTATATGAATGCTTATTTACACTTTTCCATCGACCTAACAAACTCAGTGTTCAATTACCACATACGATAAAAAAGAGGAAATAAAACATACACCGATCATTATTCAAACTATGATTACACCACATTCTATTCAATTATATTTATTAGGTACTTACAATTAGATCAAAGCTGCAATATAACAATAATTGAAATCCAACGTCCTCTTTCAGTGTCGATTCAGGACCACCCTGAATTCTATCCACCCAGTCACCGTTTATCCGACACGAATGCTTATTTACACATTCCCATCGAGTTAACAAAAATGATGAAATCGACACGGGGCCAATTGAGACACGCCTCGAAAAGTGGACAGCGTATCAGCTCGTTGTGGTAGCGCTTCGTGAACACATTTCGCGCGTTGCAGTAACTCACCCTCCCTCGTAGCTCGTTACACGCCACCGTATATAGTACAGACGTGAGAGGGGTTGGTCGGGGAAACGAGAGCCGCTTGTAGAAACTGAGCGATAACTGGTAAATAAACGATGAAAGATACGTGAATTACAAATTGCACTTTCCTAGCCGTGTGCACGTTATTTACCATTTCGCCCAGCGCCGTTGTTTATCGTCTTACGTTGGGAACAACGTTCGGTACGGTGTATCCCATTGATCGTTGCGCGAGACGACGCGTGTCGTTACGTGCAATATGCACGTAACAACGTTCTGGGCGAATTTTAAACGCCGTCGCAGTATGTATCGCGATCGACACGGAGCGGATTTTTCGAACGGAGAACCTGCTCACCCGACAGATTCGTTCGACAGTGTCGACTAGTATCACAGATTGACGAGAAACAACAATAGCAGGGATTGAAATAAACAGTTATTTCTCGTTTTTAACAAAAATTTCTGAAAAAGTAAAGTTTAATAAAGTTATTAAAATAAATTAAAGAAATAAGAATTTTTGTGGAAAGAAATGTTACCTTTAAGAACTTGTTTAACAAATGTTCTCGTGGAATAGATATTTTAGTATAGAAAGTTCGTTTGTACGTTTACTGATTCTTGAATTTGACAGATTATACATTTCACTGTGTATATTAATAATTTCACTTTCTGTGAAGCTATTTGCGTTTATAAGATTTCAGTGTTTCTAATAATTCAAATAGAATTTTACGGAGAATTCCCGATGATTTCGTGAAAAAGCTATAAACTTCTGTTGAAGGCAGTAAAACATCCTGAGATTAGGATTTAACGTAGCAGGGATTAGTTCGACCAATTAGCTTAGCAATTCTGGGCACTTTAAATGATTCATTCACCTCGGGTGTTTAAGTTCCAGGTATTTTAAACGATTTTTTGCGCACGGCAAGCATTAAGAACAAAGGGGTTTTAGGCTCCACGAGGCCTTCGGATATCTCGCTTCGAATAACCTAGATACCTCGGGTACTTCCGGTACCTACAGGTACTCTGGCCACTCTGAATTCTCGAGACATTCTGGATGCTTCAGGATACTCGAACAAAGGGCGGGATTCTAAGCGTGGAACAGGATTCTCAAGTGACGTTCCGTCTCGTCGCATCGACAATGAAATAATGAAAAAAAAAAATGTTCAATATGTGAGCCATTCACCCGATACGTTCTTGAATCTTATCGATCGTATACTCTTGAATATCTTTTAATTCTACGTAGTTCTCGAAAAAGAATAATCGATGATCAATGAACAGGCCACTGTCATCTTTTTTCGAAACTAGAATCTTATATACAGCCGGTATAATGAGATATGTACTTCACTGTAGATGCTTCCGAGATAAAAACGTAATATACAAATAATTTTATAAGCATAGTCTCTAGTACTACTCTCTAGTACTCTAGTCTACATAGTCACTATTGGGATATACTACGTATTATCATCCTTACACTATCCTAAACACTTATCATAGTACTATAGTAAAGGGTTTTAAGAGTTACAGAAAGTATTTTTTTATAATAAAAGTCATAGTATACGTACCTAATATAGAAATTAGTGGAAGCAAAACCATCAGGCAGACATCGGAGGAGGGAAACAAACGACAAAATCGAACTTAACACGGTTCCACGCGTGTAACTGCACAGATGATACACGTAAACCGTCGACTGCGAAAATACATACATACCGTTGGAACGCGTGCTACCCACGCACATTTACATCCCCGTCGCGCTCGGGATCGGCTTACAAAGCTGCGGATCGCTAGGCATCTGGCGTGTTCCACTCGTCGAACGGCCATTAAGTCACACGGCGCAATCGTGAACGCTTTGGGAAACGCACGCGCGCACGGGTGTCAAGATTAATAATATGTCTCTGAAGATGCATCCGTTTGGTTCGTGTACGCGCTTGGAAAATAGGTCGAGACACCACCTCTCGCATCCCCCCTGCTCCCAATCGCCGGAAATACGGGGTGAATCACGTGACCGGGGCCAGCGATAAATTCTGAATTTCGTCGTACAAGGTTTGAGGGAAAAGTTGACTGAACTTTTATTTGTTTCGAATAATACTTATTTGTCTATCGGTACATTGATATGATTCCTTTGAAAGTTGTGCCAATCTGAAGTGACGTCAGCGTTTTTGCAAATCCTCGGAACACTTCTGAAACGCACATTTTGTTGTCCATTAATGGTCATAGTCCGATAGACAAAATTATGAAGTTACAAGGAGTGGTCGCTAAATGTAACTCTCAGATTTCGTTCAAACTTTTCTCACTTAAAGTATAGACTATGCACAAACGAACCTTATTGAGATTCCGCCACATAGGCCTTCGTTGTTGAGAAATATTAACGCAGCGCCGAATCAGAGGAAGGCTAAGGGGGGTCTGCAGCCCCGGACACCTTCGCTTTGCAGAGGGGCCCAAATCCAAGCCTTCTATTTATATGAAAAGAAAAGGAATTAAATGAAATTTTGTTTACTGTGTCCCTTTTGAAATCACAGTAAATGTCAAAATAAATCGAACCATAATTATTTACATATAACAAAGCATTGTTCGTTACAATCAAGCATTCGTTATTATAAAAATCGTCTACCCTCCTTTCAACCAATAGGACCCTCGAAGGTTGATTGTCCCGGGCCCCAAGAATCTTGATTCGGGATTGACTTAACATTACACTGAAACCAGTACAGTAAATTCTCGATGAGTGTTTGAAGGTTTCTCAGCACTGAATGTTAAATATTTCAAAAACTAATGGCCATATGCGGTTGAAACAAATACCATTGGCTTCAAAATTCCAAGTTCTATCACTGTACTAAACCTCATTAAAAAGTCAGCGTTACACCTGAGGACCTCTCCTTGATTAGTACCGAGAGAGCCTTCGAACACTCATCGAGGATTTACTCTATTACTAATCGATAGTAAGTGTACAAATAATTTTTGTAGAATTATTCTCCCCTTCCTGTCTTCACGTCCACGAACGAAAAATTATTTTTCCATCGTTGGTCGCGAAATCGAGCCACCCCGTATACATACACCATCACGATCGTTAATATATCGGTGTAGTAACGAGTCACGATGACGCGCGGCAGAGCATTAAAGCCGGATCGCGTTTCCTTTTCAAGCTATCGGCACCCTTTCTCACCGGAACCGTAATTTTCCTTTCAGGAGAGCGACGGGGAGAAGAGCGACCAGGACTTGGTGGTGGATGTCGCGAACGAGGTCAGTTCATCCTTCAGACTAAATCCGATATTTTTAGCACCGAATTCATTAGGCGGAACCGCGGCGTACGCGCGGAGGCAGCCGATGAAAATGGAGGACCATTTTTCGAGGCTGAACCGATGACGATCCGCGGTCATTGACCGTTTCTGTGGCTCAGATCCCGGAGGAACCGCCTCTTATAGGGGTTCGTAGTGGCTCTTCGAGTCGCAGCCCTCCCCTTGAATCAGTTTACAATTTGAAAACTTTCGATATTTTCTTTTTCTATTTGAGGGACAATGTGTATTAGGTTGTTGCATTGAACATTATACGAATATTATTGGACAGAATAAGACTAAATACACGAGTGGTTCTCGTTGAAGTACAAGTGTTACTTTCGTGTTATGTTTGTTACGGAATTATTATAATAAATTTGGGGATGACTTTTCGAAGACACTCCTTAGCTGTCATTTTTTCACTGACTGTTGTGATTATTGTATACATAGCATTTTTTTTAGCAGAATCTTATGAATTTGAAACGGCCGAATTTCACCTAGATCTTTAAGATAATTGATTTTATTCCTGTGTTAGATTGTACCCTGAAACGAGTAGACTAGACCGTGCAGTTTTACATTAAAGAACGAAGCTGTGTGAATAATTTTCATTCATCAAAGTAATGTGAAATGTATCGATCATCTCGTGTGCAATGACCTAATACTAATTATAGATACTTCTCAATGTGCAGTTCTCTATGCTTTGTAACAGTTTTTCTGCGTTCTGAAATCGATCAGGTTCGGAATTTTTATGGTTTAATTAGCGACTTGGATAATGTAGTATTCTATGATGTAAAGCGATTTACTGTGTGAAAATAATATTATTCTTTGCGGAAAACAAAGTCTTTTATTGTTAGACGTACTTTTTTTTCAATAGATCCACGAACATTCGTGATACACGACTGGACGTCCTGTATATTCACTAATCACCGTGTACCTTTAACGTTTTACTATCAATCTTCTCATACGTTCATTTAAAAGAAGCAAAATATAATTGATTTATGGTAGTTTTTTCAGAAAATTTCTCTCGTTAACGCTCCTTATGAATTCGGTGGGTACTCACGATCTAAAAATGTACTATAATAAACGCTGTTTCTCTAATATCATTATGTATTTGTTAGTAACGTGAAAAAGATGGGAGAATCGGTTCACACAAAGTGACAGTTTACGAACGAAGCGTCGAGAACGTATAATTAATCGAATAAACGTTACAGCAAAGTTTCAATATGGCCGCCGCTACTACCTCTTTTGCAAACTCGAATTCGCTGGAAAAATAATCGACACATCTCTTGTAGAACAGACATCAACAATATCAATGTTATTCGCTACTGCCGTGTAGTTCTCTTTTCATTTACGAATGTGTTTGTACAGACTGACCGTTACCTTGTACGGTGGAAATAAAAATCCAATATGGCAAACGATTCGAGTCAACTTTTCAGACGTACGTTATCGACGCGCAGTTGACAGAATACTTTATTTTACCTGTGCTACCATCATCCTGCGCCGTATTTAAAAAAAACACACACACTGTATGCACTTTAAACCCCATATGTCACCTTGCAATTACGTATAAAGTTGCATACATCACCCCTGAAAAAATACCTCATCATATATGTTTTATGAAAAATGATGTTGGTTCGTTCTAACAAAAGAAAAGTACAAATGGATGCTTAATGTTTCAAACTAGCCTTTGAACTAATATTTTATTACATATTACATTCAAATATTAAGTTCTGAATATTCAATTTTGTAATATTACGTAGACCACAGAAAATGGTAAATCAGAAAATTGTAGAAATAATACACTGTATTCTTTTTAATTTTCATTTCCCTAAACTATATACAGTACTGACCCTGTATCATAAAAACAATTTAAAATCCACTACCATCTTCGTTTCCACCAAAATTCTTGACCAAATTTGATTTTTCTTTTATTATCCACGTCTATAGTCGATCCACCAACTGTTCACCGGCCATTTTTCCCGAGTGATAGTAATGTCAGCTCCCTATAGGTTTAAACGAACAAGATTCCAAGGTAACAGGAAATCGAGAAAGAGAGTGGTGTGTCATTGAACTTTCTTTCCTCGACGCGTTTCCAAGCAGAAAAGAAGACGAATCGTGTTCGGGTCTGGTCTGTTTCAAAGGAACTTTCTTCTTTCTTTTTCCCGCACGTAAAGGAGGCGTCATCACCGCACGCGAACGGCGAACACTCAGACCCACGTGAGAACGGTACCCTGGAGAAGCTGAGTGCTCCAGGACACGCGGGACCGACATCCGGCGCCGGCTCCGCTTCCGTGAAAGACAGGCCGCCCTCGCGGAGCGGAAGCTCCTCCGCTCGTAGCACACCGTCTCTGAAAAGTAAAGATGTAAGATCTCGCGGATAGCAAGCTTGTTCGGCGACTAATCGGTCCGGTTCCCCTCCGTTGTCTCTGAACACTACGAACTTTACGAAGAGCCTCCTCGATCACCTCCAGCGATCATCGTTCGATGTTCGAGGACTCCCTTCGAGCATTATCGATTACACCGGTCAACATGATTTTTGTCCCAAAAAACATTTATACTGGTTCTTATAGATTTTGTTGATACTGAATACGAATCCGTAAACGGTTTTTTGCCCTCAGTTTTCGAGAAATTTGATTTTTAAAAAAATGACAATTTTCTACTTTGAACATTTCCTGTGTACAAACATTAATAGTTATTCTTGTTGCGTCAAATTAGTCTCAGGGAGTTTGAGTACCACTGCCAGCGTCGCAGGTTTTACTGAACTATTTCGCTCCTGTATTGAACACAAAACGTGACTTACCATTTCTGTTAATGCTTTCCGGAAGAAAAATGTTTACTGTATCTGCTGGCGCAGTCAGATTATGTCCTGCATTTTTACTTTTTGAAATAAATTGAAAAATATCGGTAAAAATTGATGCATTTCGGGTGTCCTTTTCTCTTTGATCGTTGTTGAAATATGTTTAAATGTTGATAATGCGATAACAACGTATACCATTTTATCCGGGAGAGTTTACAGAATAATTTGACGCAACAATCAACTGAATAACTATTAATATTTAAACACAGGAAATTTTCAAAGTAGAAAATTGTCATTTTTAAAAAAATCAAATTTCTCGAAAACTGAGGGCAAAAAACTGTTTACGGATTCGTATTCAGCACAGAAGACTATAAGAACCAGCAACTGGATGTTCCAAGACAAACAAAAAATTAAATTCTGTTGACCAGTGTTATTATTGCTTCCTATGCTTGTGCACGCTAATATTGAGGGGGTGACCAAAAGGAAATACAGAAATAACTTTGTTGTTTTCGAAAATACAGAGTAGTAGGTGGTCAAATATGGGCGACCAATATGGCTGCCGAATTGGTTATTCAAAAAATCAGATTGTTCATTACAATAACACGAGAATCGTATCACTTGTCATAGGTCTTTACTTTCCAAATCTTCCCTGGAATCTCAATGGATCTTGAATAAATTAATTTCATCCAACACAATCCCGTAAAAATTTCTAGCTTCAGATCAAAATATGTGTCACCCGTGAGTACACCTGACACGACATTCAAAGGGTTAACACCGTTTACTCGCCAAAGCAATCCCCGAAACAACTACTATCCAACAAACGTACACCTTTATTCTTTCCAAAGATCAAGAAACAAACACACACACATACAAAGCTTACACAGAAATCGACCAGGAAGGTGGTGATATCGACGTTTCAAAAAAAAAAAAAAAAAAAAAAAAAAAATTCC